GATATTAATATAAGTGGTTTATAGCTTTTTTTAAGTGTTTTTCATGTCTTACCAACATAAGGTGAATTACCGGGGGAATGATCTTTGGGCTTTTAAAGAATCACATTACTGCCACTCACTAGCTGAATAATTTTATGCAAGTTACTTGATGTTCTGAGCCTTGATTCTCTCCTCTATTAATTAGAGACAATCATATTTGTTATTTAACATATTTTGATTGTAGACATTAAATTAGATAATATTTGTTGAATGCATTATGAAAACTCCAAGGCACTGTATGGATATATTGTTTTATATAATATTTGATTTATGTTCTCTCTCCCACAGGAGTACCAGCTCATGATAGGACTCAGTAATTGGATGCTCTGGGCTGCCTATTTCTGTACATTCCTCTTGCTGTATTCTATCATCATCATTTTTATATGCATAATTTTCTTTGTCAAGGCAAGTGTCTATTTGACTGCAGTGTGCTGCAGCTAAAACTTCAAGAGGGAAAACACAAACACAGTGTGGGCCTAATGGATCTCAGGTTACTAGGGAATGAAAATGTGGCATTTTGTTGACTTCACTGTGGAAACTCAAGAGACTGCTTAGTCTCTATGCAATTAACTAAACTTTAAACCTAGATGAGTGAGCCTTCCTGTAAGAAACGAATGGTTAACTCCCCATCTCACTGAACAGTCTTTGGTCTGACCAGGACTATCAAAATATTTCAGGATGTTTCATTTCTCCTGTTTTGTTTTGGTGTGGTGCCACTTAGAGTGTGACTAAACCGGCTTCCTAACTGTTTCGCTAGATTGAGCCTGCATCAATCATCCAACACAGTGACCCAGCTGTGGTCTTCGTTTTTTTGCTGTTTTATGCCATTGCCACAATATGCTTCAGCTTTATGGTCAGCACATTCTTCAATAAAAGTGAGTCTAAGATTTCTCCTATGAAATATTCTAAGTGACTAAACAAACATTACAACTGGAAGCTCTTTTAAACTTTAGTTGCCAGCTCATCTATAGCTTCTGTTTACATGCTAACTGAAAAGATAAATATCATATGCATGTGAAATGATTTGAAAAGAAATGAAGAGCAATGAAAATTAATATAGCACAATATATATGTAAAAAAAAAGGATACAGACCAAAAAATAGGATCATATTTGTGTGTTCTTTCTAACCTTTAGCTGCTACCTCATGTATGGTATTTGTCTCACCCTTCCATCATGAAGTGTTGAGAGAAGATGTCTTTCATATATTCTATTGGAGGGACTAATGTGTGCTAATATCTGATTACTAGACTGTTATATGTAAAGAGGAAGAAAACAAAACTGCTTAAAAGGGTTCTTGCACTTAATTAATAGATCTTTATTGTATTGCCGTACCTGCCCCATAGAGCTGACCTTAGGAACATGAATACTATGTGCACAAAAAAAAATGATTTGAGAGGTATATTAGTCATGGTTTTTCAGAGAAACAGAATCAAACAGGAGATTTATTGTGGGAGATTAAAGATTTATTATGAGGAATCAGTTCACACCATTATGGAGGCTGAGAAGTCCCACAATCCGCAGACAGCAAGCTGGGGACAAGAAAGAGCCACTGGTATTATTCCAGTCTGAGTCTGAAGGCCTGAGAACTAGGGGAGCTGATGGTATAAATCCCAGTCTAAAGGCAGGAGAAGACTGAGGTCCCAATCAAGCAGGCAGTGGGGAAGAAAAAGGGTAGAATTCCTCCTCCCTTCACCTTCTTGCTCTTTTGAGGCCCTCAACAGATTGCATGATGCCTGTCCCCACTGGGGAGGGCAGTCTACTGAGTCCACTGATTGAAATGCTAATGTCATTTGGGAACATCCTCACAGACATCTCAGAAATAATGTTTAACTGTACGCCCCATGATGCAATCAAATTGACACATAAAATTAACCATCATAAGAGGACATGCAGAGAGTAGTGAAAGTTAATGGAGCACAATATACACATAAAAAAAGGATATAGACTGAAATATTCTTAGTTGGGATAAGTCTAAATGTTCTTCCAATAGAGGGAGGTTTAGAAAAATTTTTGAAAGATTGGAAGATGGGAGTGAATAGGAAGTCAAATCAGTGGATGCAAGTATTCACTCATTCATTTAAATCTTCGAATTATTTCTTTTGTGTAGGCACGGTATCTAATATAGAAAGATAAAAATTGCTTTCTTTCCATTTGAGGGCCCACACGCAAATTGGTTTTATGAATTTAAAGGCCTCTGGAAGAAGATGAGAATTCCTATTGCTCCATATCCTTGCCAATATTTTGTATTGTCAAACTTCAATTTGTGCCAAATTAGAGATATTAAATGCTATCTCATTGTAATTTAAATCTGCATCTACTAATTACTAATGAAGCTTAGTATGTGTTACTAGTATGAGTCATGTGTGTTTCCTCTTCTATAAAATCTGTTAATCTGATCTTTTAATATTAATGCCTATAACAATTTTTTTATTAAAGTCTATTATGTCTGATATTAGTATGGCCACCTACCTCTCTTTCTGTTATTTGCATGGAGTATCTTTTTCCATCCTTTCACTTTCAACCAATTTGTATATTTGGATCATTTTTAAAAAATCCATTCTGCCACCTTCACGTTTTAATGATTGGAGATAATTAAGGATTTTACTTTTGCCATTTTTGTGTTTGTTCTGTACATGTCGCATGCCTTTTCCCTCATATTCATGAGTCCCATCCCATTTATTTTTCTGTACATTTTCTAGTTATTAGTGGATAATTTGGAGATTACAATGAATGCCTTAATTTAATTTGAATTAATATCAGTTTACCATCAATAATATACAAAAACTCTTCTTCTGTAAAGCTCCAGCTCCTCTTTTTGTTGGCATTTGCACAAATTATATCTTTGTTTGTCTATTAACATGTATTTATAATTATTTTATGCACTTGTCTATTAAATCATATAGAAAAAAGTTACAAAACAAAAAAATTTCATAATACTGGCTTTTGTATTTACCTATGTAGTTACCTTCACTGGAGCTCTTTATTTTTTTATATGGCGTCGAGTTACTATCGAATGGCGTTTCATTCAGCTGTAAAAACGACCTTGTGGAGAAGGTCGTTAGCAAATTTCCTCAGCTTTTGTTAATCTAGGAATTTCTTAATTCCTCCTTCCCAAATTTGTAAAGACTTTATTTTTTTTTTTTTTTAGAGCAGTTTAGGTTCACAGGAAAATTAAGATGAAGGTACAGAGATTTCTCACATACCTTCTGCCCTCCACATGCATAGCCTCCCCCCATTATCCATGTCCTCCCAAATTGTGATATTTGTTATAATGAATGACCCCACATTAACACATCATAATCACCCAACCCTTGGCCAGCTGGTCTTTTTACTGTCTCCATAGTTTTGCTTTTCCCAGATCACATAATTGAAATCATACAGTCCATAGCCTTTTCAGATTGGCTTCTTCCACTTAGTAATATGCATTTAAGACTCCTCCATGTCTTTTAATGGCTTTATAGCTCATTTATTTTTTTGTGCTGAATAATATTCCATTTTCTGGATGTACAGGTTTGTTTATCCATTTACCTACTGAAGGACATCTTGATTACTTTCAAGTTTTAGAAATTATGAATAAAGCTGCCATAAATATTCATGTGCAAGTATTTTTTATTTCAAAATGTTAAGGGGATGCAAATGTTTTTGTTACACATATACCTTGTATAATGCTAAAGTCAGGGATTTTAGTGTGCCTGTCACCAGAAGAGTGTTCATTGTACCCAAGAGGGAAGTTTTTACCCCTCACCCCCTCCTGACCTCCCCCTTCTTGGTTTCCACAGACCTTTACTTCTCTTTGTGCCCATGTGTGCCCATCGATTAGCTCCCAGTTACTAGTGAGTACACGTGGTGTTTGTTTTTCCATTCCTGACATACTTCACTTAGGATAAATGTTCCATCCAAGTTGCAGCAAATGGGATAGGATGGCTGGGGTGGACTGGAGTTGGGCATTTCCGTTCTCCCATATAGTAGACTAGAGGGAGCTGGAATTGGGCATTTCCCTTTCCCCAGGTCACTTAGGCTCTGATAATATCCCAGTGGTTTAAGCTCTAGTTAACTAGTTTCTCCTGAGATCAGGCCTTGTTAAGAGGAACAGAGTGCTCTTAACCTATTTCAGAATGGTACATTTTCCCCCTCCCTCTGCCAGAAGCATGAGGGGATTTTTCTGTGATACTTGCTATAGGTGCCTGTTCAAGCCTCTGGAGGTATCTCATAATAGAGTGGCCCCACCCTGAATGACTGGGTCCCCTGGCATTTTAAATTCTCAGTTTTGGCCACCCTGAGCCTCCAGCAACGTATCAGTGACAGTTCAGGTTTTCCCACCCTAGCACTGGCTCCCTCGGTAGTTTCTGCTGGTGAGTCTCTGCTTCCTTAAGCCGTGATGCCAGCTGTCTCTCCCTAATCTTGGGAGCCGTGATTTTTTTCCCTGTGTCCTTCCCTCTCTTAAGGATGAAGAAAAGTTGACTTTTCAGTCTGTTCAACTTTTTACTTGATGTTAGGATGTAGTGGCTCTTTCTGAGCTCCTTACACGTGGAACCAGAAACTGGCAGTCTCTCTTTCATTTTTCAAGGGTAGTTTTGCCACATAATAGAATTCTTCGTTGCCAGTTTCTTTTGTTTGTTTATCTTTATTTCTTTTACTTTAAGCGCTTTAAAAATGTTATCCCACTCTCTCTGGGCCTCTAGGTTTCTGACAGGAAATTGGCTCTTCATCTATTACATCATGGGATGCTTCTGTCTTGCTGCTTTCAAGATTCTGTTTTTGTCTTTGACTTTTGACATTTTTACTTTAATGTGTCTTGGTGTGAATCACTTTGATTTATCTTACCTGGAGCGGAGTTTTGGAGGGTGTGTAGATGCATGTCTTTCTTTAAATGGGGAAAGGTTTTAGCCATTATTTCTTCAAATAATCTCCCAGAGCCCTTGCTCTCTCTCCTCTCTTTCTGAGACTCCAGTTATGCATATGCTGGTACCTTTGATGGTGTCCTGCAGGTCTCTTGGGCTTTGATAATTTTTCTTCATTCTTTTTCTTACCACTCTTCAGTTTGCATAATATCGATTGTCTTATCTTCAACTTTGCTGATTCTGTCTTCTACCTGCTCAGATATGCAGTTGAATTCCTCTAGTGAATTTTTCATTTCAGTTATTTTATTTTTCTGCTCTGTAATTTGTTCATTTTTATAATTTGTGTCACTTTATCGATAGTCTCTAGTTCATGAGATATGTTTCTCTAGCTTTCCTGTAGTTCTTTATTTAAAGTATTTGAGCATATTTATAGTCTTCAATAAGTCCAATCTCTGAGCTTCTTCAGAGACAGTTTCTTTTTTTCTTGTGAACGAGCCATACTCTTAATTTGCATGCTTCCTAATTTTTTGTTGAAAACTATAATATCTTGAATATTATAGTAACTCTGGAAATCAGAATCAGTTCAGAATTTTTTGAACTCCTGATACTCTTTTTATTTGTATTTCTAAGTTTATTTTTTATTTGTAATACATTGTTCATTTTTTTAATTTGTTTTAATTTCAGCATATTACGGGAGTACAAATGTTTAGGTTACATATATTGCGCTTGTCCCACCCGAGTCAGAGCTTCAAGTGTGTCCATCCCTAGACGGTGCACACCGCACCCATTATGTGTGTATATACGCATCCCCTCCTCCCCGCTCCCACCTGCCCAACACCCAATGAATGTTATTAGTATATATGCACTTAAGTGTAGATCAGTTAATACCAATTTGATGGTGAGTACATGTGGTGCTTGTTTTTCCATTCTTGGGATACTTCACTTAGTATAATGTGTTCCAGCTCTATTCAGGATAATACAAGAGGTGCTAGATCACCATTGTTTTTTGTGGCTGAGTAGAACTCCATGATATACATATACCATATTTTATTAATCCACTCATGTATTGATGGGCACTTGGGTTGCTTCCACATCTTTGCAGTTCTGTGAACTCCTGATACTCTAAACCACATCTGACTCTTTGACACTAACTTTGTCTTTCTCTGTTTACTTAGACATCCTTCTTTTCCCTCAGTATCATGACAGAAATTGAATCTCATATCATATCCAGCAATACAATATAGTTAACTTCTAATTATTCCAGCAGTAGTATTTACATTTATAATTTCTTAAGCTGAGTGATAATAAGTAAAAATATAATTTTTATTAAGGTCTGTAATATTCATAGTTACTGCATATAGAATGATAAATTCTAGAAAAATTATTTTCTCAAATGTTTTATTTCAGCCTTTTATTTATTCAAAAAATACATTCCAGCACTTACTCTGTTCCAAGTATTATGTGTTGGAGGAAATAATGGTGAATAAAATGGACAAGTTCATATTTCTCATAGAGCTTAATTTAGTATACTCTTATAATAAAACAAAAATATTTGTATTTTAAGTTTTTAAAGACTGCTGAAATTGACCTTATAATTTTCTCCTTATTTATAGGCAACTTTGCTGTTGCTTTTGGAGGTTTGCTTTTTTTTGCCATCTACTTTCCAGCTAGTGGCCTCCCTTTCTACTATACACAGATGACATTCACCCAGAAGCTGACTGCCTGTCTCAGCTCAAATTTCGCAATGGCGCTGGGAGTTAAATTTCTACTCGACTCGGAAGGAGAGCGTGAGTATCTACTTCATAATTTTTTTCTACGTCCTAGTAGATATATCTGTGCTATCTTATTGGATATTCACAGTTTTAATATCGATTAATATTGCTAAAGCATCCTTCAAAAAATTCTACTACTTTATACCACCACCTATATACATGAATGCTTCCATCTTCTCTCCAGAACTTACCGCAAGTCTGTCAGAGCCTCTTCTTACTCCTTTTGGAGTTGCCACCTGCTGTGTAGTGATAGGGGAGGAAGTGACACAGTCTGCTTTTAAGAGCTCCCTTTTTCCATCAGCACGGTGTCTATGCAAAAATTCTTCCAATCTTCTGTCCTACGGAAAGCATCCATCCCTACTTTTCAAAGATTATGTTTTTCCAAAATTAGAGATTCAAATGAACATTTAGCATGAGGAGGAGTGGAGAAAGAGGAGCCATCATCTTTACCCATAGGTCGTCTTATTTTTCTTAAAGCTTATTTTCCTGACTTTTTGGTACATTTTATTTTCGTTTCATTCATTTCTAATCATTTGCTTGTTTGGGGTATAATGGAGAGCACTTTACATGAGCACTTTACTTACTCAAATGTTCTCTGGGACAACCTAAATTCTAAGGGTGTAAGAAAGTAGCTAACTTCCATAGGAATCTCTCAATGTCAACATATTATTCTCTTTGCTGTTTAATTATTATGTAAATGAATAACTCTGCTTTAGTCACAGTTGGTACCTAATTAAATGTCTTCTGCTATGTCTCAGAAATTGGACTTAGTTGGAGTAACCTGTTCTCATCAACTAAACTGGATGACTTCTTTTTTGGCTATCTACTGGGAATATTTTTATTTGATGCCTTCTTGTATTGCCTTGTGGCCTGCTATGTAGAAGCTGTCTTTCCAGGAGACTATGGTGTGCCCAAGCCATGGAACTTTTTCTTCCTGGTGAGTTCTAATGCTTGTTATTGATAAGAGGTCACAGTCATTATGAACCTGGTTTGTAATATCTACAAAAGCTATTATGCATTAATTTTGCACTGTCTACAATTGATCAAGTGAAAGAACCATTCTTATTTACACTC